CTGTCTGTCTCTCTCTTACTTGAGTGAGCGATGCGTCCGCGTGGACAGCTGCTATACAATAATACATTTCCATTTACCTCCTTCTCTATATCCATACAAAATATCTATCAAATAAAATTAAAATTTTCTTTTGAAAAATGAAACCATTCCATCAGTATTTTCTTATGACGTTGTCACATTCAACTATCGTCAGTAAACCGACTTTACAGACAACCGATTTTTTTATAACATTAAATGATTCAAATCAACAGTACAATGACATTTTTATATTAAATCATTTATTCAAGAAGTCATAACAAGTATGATTTCTATTACTTATTACTGGTTAAATTGCGTGGATGTTTCTCAATAATTGATTATCCAAAGATTTCCGTCCGAGTTCAGAAATAATTAGGTAATTATGCTGTGTTTTTATTTTAAGCTATAGTAAGTGGTCAAGTTGTTGACAAACTGGGCAGAAAACCGCTATTATTAATATCTGCAGCCAGTTGCTCCGTGGCATTGTTTGGCGAAGGGGCTTATTTCTATGTTTTGGAAGCCATGAAGGGAAATACCAATTCAATCTCTTGGATACCTCTCACCGCTTTGGTAATCTTCGAAGTGATGATAACTATTGGCGTTTCAACTTTACCTTATATTATCATTGGCGAAATATTCACGATGAATGTTAAAGGTAAATCGAAGGAAATGCTTAATTATCAGTCATTAGAGAATTTCATCAACGTTTGCTACAGTTTTCAAAAAATTCAAAAATAACTCACTGGGCAAAGTCCCCAATAAATTATCTGCGAGAATGGACGTATCTTCTTTCTTGTTTCAACTTGGGACCCCTAAAAAGCCCCTAACTTTGACATTTTCGGAACGTTGTGGTGTCAAGTTCACAGGGTTGACCACCATATACATTTAGTAATCTCACTGCTAATCAGCGCCAAAATTTCTGCAAAATATCGACTAAAAACTTACTAATGAATTATTGTAACCTAAATTTATTTTTTTGTAGGTTATGCTGCGTCATTTAGTTCTTTATACTCAGCACCACTTGCATTTGCGGTGACGTCCCTGTATATACCTATAAGCGAAAACTGGGGCACCTACACCATGTTTTGGTTTTATGCTTCCACATGTTTCCTTGGCTCGATATTTATTTTGATATTTCTACCGGAAACAAAGGACAAAACTTTCGACGAAATACAAAAGAAACTCAATAATAAGAAATAAGCTTTTATAAAAGAATAAACCCCTTTGTACCTATTTCAAAAAATATTTGTTTTTATTTTGTGTTTTATTTTAAATGTTCCTCCCTCCACCCCCAAATTGTTAATCTGGCTCAAATAAGCTGACCCCAGCAGTTTGGATTGATAATCTTACGTCGACAATAGGATTACGTTACTCCATTCGGATACGAGACCTAATAAGAATGACAAAATTCGTTTTGGATACATTAAAAGAACCTAAGTTTAAATCCCAAATGAACTATAAATAAAAAAAGTTTTCTATAAGGCTCTACGTGTACGTTCGTGATAAATTGCTTGCCTACATTCACCAATTAGCTACATTCACGTCACTCTCCCTGCTCCCTTCGCGTGTCCTTGCTAGTCTAGTCTATTAAAGTGGGAACTGACGCGCAAAGAAAACACTTACCAAGCAGAGGCAGAGGGTTGGGAATTATATGTTTCTTTACGCGTTAGCTCCCTGACTATAAAAATTATTAGCCGTCAAGGGTCAAGATTCATTCGTCATCATCAGTAAACTATTAGTAGATACTACTGCTAGTGTGAAGTATTTCTAAGCTATTGATAAGAATTTTAAAAACGCATATTCGTGTTATTTTAGGTATTAAAACCATTCAGCATTTCAGTGGGTCTCAAGCAATATCAGCATACATGCAAACAATAATGCAAAGCAGCGGAAGTAACCTGTCTTCTTCATACTCGAGCATAATATTTGGATTCACCCGATTTATAGCTGGTAAGTGTGTATTAGACTGCTTGGTGATTGTTTATTTTCATTTTATGAGATTAATTTCAATGCAACCTTTCACCAAGAGCAACAACTATATTTCTTTTTTTACCAGAGGGTCAAGTTTCATTGTTGCACTTCATGTCCCATGCCCCACAACACCGTGAAGAAGTTGATACCCANGAACCAACGACTCGATTCTGTCATTGGCCGAATAACACAGATATTGGTAATTACTAAACGGATCCCGTTTCACTACAACCAAGATCAGCAATTCTGATTAGTCGCGTTAGTGAATCACAATAAATAAAATGTAACGCAGAACATTGCTTGGTTTTGCAATTCATGACAAGCTATAAATTGTAGGTAAACATGGTATCAATTTTCATTCATCACTCAATATGAAGACATTTTTTCGTAAAAATTTTAAATTGAAATAGCAGTTACTGAATCAATAACCACAAATTGTAAAGAACTAATGAATCAGAGGGTGGTTCTTGATTGTTTGATGATGCGAACAATATGGTAGAGGAGACGAGGGCTAATTGGTGTTTCGAGTAATGTCAATGTGACAGTATGTGTCAGGGTATTAGTTTCTCTTATTGTAACAAATTGATTTCAAAATTTTCATCCCAGTTATAAACTGTTTCTGAGAAATGAATATTTCTTCGCTTGATAAGTAACAGCTCTAAGCAGATTCAGAAATGGAACATATGTTAGGCAACTACTCGTTTCGCTTTGATCAAATTGCAAGGGGTTGGTCATTGGGAACACACTATATATCCCAACTTTATGTGTTTCTTTTGTGTTTATTTAGTCGTCCATTATATATAAAATTACAGCCGATGTGTGTCGAGTCCTTAGCAAAAAATCCATCCCCACCAGCCACTAATACTGGAGGGCGGACTACACCAAAAGATAGGGCGGAAAGCCCTCTTCAGGCTCCTTTGAGTAATCGTGGAAATGGGTGGGTGGTGGTTCGGGTGAGAAAAATGAGACGGACGAAATGAAGACAGAAGAGAATGAAGGATTATCTGTGGAATATTACTGCCCCAGCATTAGCCTAAGTGATCCAAGGAAACCACAGAAAAACTTGGACCAAGGTAGACGGACCCGGAATCAAACCGGCGTCCTCCGGAATGCTAAGCAATGGTCTAAACCTCTAGGCCATGCCACACGATGAGTTCTTAGCTCAAAGAAGAGCAGAACTTAGATAATCCACCTTAACACAGAAGAGTCATCGTCCAATGCGTATCTGTAGGCATTACAATCTGAGGGGCCACGTCTTGTTGGTCCAGTTGTACTTGATACAAAACAAAAGCCTGTTTTACATGACCTATGACGTTATTGCAGCGAAAAAGATTATGCCCATGAAGATGTGCTTCCCCCAGATGAATATTCGTTTCGAAATTGAAACTTATACCTTATATCTGTCATACTTTTGTTTTGTATTAAGCACACATAACACAAAAGAACCTTCAACTAATTAAGTAGCACATTGTTAAACACTTTTAAATTAAACGTTGGGTTTACATTTTATTGCAAAATTAACACGTAAGTATAATACGCATAACATTTAAGAAAACCCAGTTTCCATACAATAAATAAGAGACTTAACTGTTGCGGTGTATACATATAATCAAAATTTCACAGTTGCAATGTTGAAAATGAGAACACACATGACTGTGAATTTTCTCAGTTTTGCAACTTGAGTCGCCATCCGTTTGGAGCACCTCCTTACAGCACACCTGCCTCTTCGTGCCCGACGGCAAGGTTATCTAATTTCTAATTCATTTTCATCTTTCTCATCACAGTTGCTTGGTATCTATGCTATTGAGCCATTGACCCAATAGAAAGAGTGGATCGTATTCACTCATACATACCTACATGTATATGATGACTTCTTTATACAAGAGGCTTGTCTTAAGTCTTGTCTATTAACTTTACTTTCTATATCTCGAAATAAAACGCAACAACATTATTTAAAATATTATAACGATCTCAAGCTATATTAAATAATAATTTCTTGAATTTTAGTCAACTTGATGTAGACTGTAATTAAAAAAAAGCAAAAGGCATTATGGCGAATGTTAGCCGCCATTACATTGTCAGTGTTGTCTCTCCTTTTATTGAAAGTAACAATACCTAAATAGCGATAGAAATACATACAAAAAATTTAAAACAGTATGTGATACGTACTAAGACATGATGGACACAATAGCAAACTAAAATATTTGGTTCTACTTTTATATGCGGTTTATCTCTGGCGTGTGATCTACCTGTACGTACTTGTACCCTAATATACGGTCTACCTTCTCGTAAATAAGAACAATACACAGAAGAAACATGCACTTTTGAGAAAAAAAGTAAAGACGAAGGTATCGAAGGACATAATTCCAACAATACTTACTTCATTCGTATCCAACCCTACTGTAATCTTCAGGTAAAGTTAAGTAAGGTTATAGTTTTATGTTGCGGTAAGAAAGCCAACATGAACGAAATGGGTATTATCGTGATCATATCCTCTTTTTACCGAATATCAAGCTAATCCATAATGCTAGATCGCATATCAAAGATACTTGTCAACAGACCACATATTATCGTAGCATCACCATATATTTTTTCAACATGCCCTACATGTTTTTTAGTATGATGCTTCTGAATTTTTCAAAAGTTGCTGATTTTATATGTAAAATGGTTTATTATGTTTCTTAAGTATCTTGAAAATGGATTCTAACATTATAGAGGTAAAATTTCTTGAAAACAGAAGCAGAAATGTCGGTACTGGCTAATTGGTTAAAACAAATTGACTGATTATGTACGTATATTGTACCATAAAATATTATTGGTATAGGTATTCTCAGTAAAATGTATATGCTCGGGGGTGAATCTGCCTGTCTGTATGTTGTACATAAAAATCGAGAACCACTTAATTCTGATATATTGCATTGAATATGGTTCTGGTATTGTTACAAAGTTATATGTTACGATACCTTTATCTCCAACAATGATCAGACACGATGACCATGTGTCCAACTAAAGCATTCGAAATCACGATCAACATCTAGTAGATAAACTGCTATCCAAGTCTTTATTGTTCCTTGCGGGAAAGGAAAGAGAAAGTGATGTCGAAATACGTTTTGGATTTAGAACGTCATCATAATTTCATAATTTCGTTGGAAGTCAATATGAAATAGGAAAGATTGGAGACGCGTTAGGAAGGATTGACGACCTCATGATGATAATGTTGGATGTCAAGAATTAAAAAATTGATTTATAAAATTCTATTCCTTTTTTGCTTTTTTTAAAACATTAGGACCAATGAAGGAAAATGGAGAAAATCGTAGGGGACGTAATCATGAACTGTTTTAAAATATTGAAGATATAGTAACTATTAGTATGAGAAAAAGAAGAATGTCATTTTTGGCCATCTAGAGAGAATGAACTCCGAAAGGATGTCCAACCACATCCATGTATCAATCTCCAAGAAAACATCGTACTCAATTAAGGAAAATTGAGAATATCATAGGAGGCACATTCATTAAATTGTTTCAACATATTGAAGATACAGTGACAAGTATGAGGAAAAGAAGAATGTCTTTTTTGGCTATCTAGAGAGAATGAACCCCGAAAGGATGTCCCATCACATCCATGTATCAATCTCCAAGAAAACATCGTACTCAATTAAGGAAAATGGAGAATATCGTAGGAGACACAATCATGAACTGTTTCAACATATTGAAGATATAGTGACTAGTATGAGGAAAAGAAGAATGTCATTTTTGGCCATCTAGAGAGAATGAATCCCGAAAGGATGCCCCATCAAATTCATGCATCAATCTCCAAAAAAATATCATATTCTAAAACTTACAACCCCTTACCCATACCACGGCACACCCCGCCAGTAAATTGATTCAACCAAAAGAAGGAAGCACATTCACCCAGAATGAAGGAGTATTGGCAACGAAGAAATGCTCGAATGAATTAAAACGTCTTGGTCCCTATATGGCCGAAACAGGAAATAAAAAAAAAATTGTTACTTATACTAAACTGTAACGCGCGGCTCCTTGTGCACCATAGTAGACAGTTTGTACTGTCTATTATTTATTATTAAAATTCCGCACATAAAACGTTTGCTTTTAGTTTTTGAATAACCCACGTAGATAGTTGTTTAACAATTTACCTACGAAACCTTAAAATACACCTTCATACAAATACACACTAGGTGGTCACCACCAAGCATCCTGTATGAACACACG